GGATGTGCAGAGGAGTAGTTTAAGACCGCACCGCTATCTGTTGATTTCCGGTATACAGTGGTTTTTAATTTCCCACCACTCTTGTATGTCATGCAGTCAAGAAAAGCTAGTGTACCCGATGTGGACTCTCCATGCTAAACTTAATGTGAGGGTCCAATGTGTTCAGATGTTGAAAGAATTCGTTCACCTTAGCCCGCTTTATTACAACGAACGTGTCATCTACGTAACGCCGGAACACCCTTGGTGGACACTCGAATCCGTTTAAAGCTTTCTGCTCGAAGTCTTCCATGTACATGTTGGCCAAAATCGGGGATATTGGTGATCCCATCACTAAACCTTGTTCTTGAAAGTATATAATTGAGTCAAAAACAAATTGACTGAGGTTTAGGCATACCTTTGTGCCTTCAACTATCTCGTCTACGGAGAGTTGCGTTCGTTCCTGCAGCGTTGTGTCTACCAGTAAAAGTCCTTTCGCTAGTTCCACAGCGAGAGGGACGTTGGTATACATCGAGTTGACGTCAAAACTAGTCAGGACTTCGTCTGGCTCTATCTGAAACCCAGCTACTTTTTTTAGCAAAGTCATACGAATCTTGGATGTGTGTGGGTGACTTGCCGGCAAGTGGTTTAAGGATACCTGCTAGATATCTGGCCAGCTCATTTGGTGGTGAACCTATGCCATCCACTATTGGTCTTATGGGGACACCTTCTTTGTGAATTTTCGGTAGCCCGTACAGTCGTGGTTGGATTGCACTTTTTGGGTACAATCGATACCACTTGCCTTGCCCCAGATGGCTTATCACAGATCTTAGATACCTCCCAACTTCAAATTTACTCTTATTCATAATTGACGTGATCTTTCCGTTACTAATTTGTCGATAAGGACCATCAGCTATGTGTTGTCTAACTTTCTGAAGATAGTCACTCTTATTCATGACGACCGTGGCCTTACCTTTATCTGCTTTTGTAATTACTATGCGGTCTACATTTTTAACGTGTTTAAGGCTCTTCGCTCAGCTGGTTCAATCTTTGGAACCCCTGGTTGCTGGAACTTCAGGACTGTGACCAACTGTACACATGATTTCTCCGCTCCCATTGAAGGAAGCTTCTGGAATACAGACTCAACACTAGGGATGATCTCTTCTGCCCTTATAACGCCTTTACTTACTGCAAAATTCAATCCTTTCTCTAACAGACAACGTTCCTCTTCACTTAAGGGTCTATCTGATAAATTGACTACGCTACAATAGCTAGTGGATGACTTACTCTTCTCTGCTGTGTTACTAGAACAGCGAGTGGTAGAAAGCAATTTCTCGAACTTACGTATTTGTCTGTCCTTGCACTGTTTACCTTGGGCTGATTTCACTTCCTTCGCTTTGGGTCTAAAAGTACCAAAAAAAATCCAAGTAGCGGTAGATCCAATTAACCACCCCACCCCCCATCCCCAAACCAATTGTCCCAGCACCCTTGGACGAACACAGGTGAACGAAATCTGTAAACGACCCCAAGAGGAATTTTCCATTAAGATGTCCTAGACTGAAGAAGCAGGGACGAAAAAATCCGGGTTCATCATAAAGACCAACAACCCCCCTAACCGATTGTTGTAGCTGTGTTTTCCTCAGCTTCGTTCTCGGTCTGAGCCTCCCAAGCTAGCGTTCACGTCAAAACAAACACCAAAGGTGCACAAGGTCTATTAACGCCCAAAACGAAAT